AAACAAGAATCTCATGTTCGTCGAAGAACCAGTCAATGTATTGGATAAGGAAGTAAAGCGTACAAAACAAAGCCGCATTCCGATTGTGAAGGATCAACGAAATGCAAAACGTAGGTCGAAACTCACAATTGAATGTAAAGACTAGATTAAGTAAAAGTACCCTCACCTATTCTAGTATTCTCAAATGTAGCTTTCAAATAGAATTTCGGGACGAAATTCCCTCTAACGGGGGGATGATGTCACAACTAGAAATTTTGTGTCTTGTAATCTCTATACTCAAGTAAAATGTTGAATCAAAAACTTAAGAGCATGTGTGATGCTTATTATATGACATCAAAAATTTCAATCAAATATATCATACAAGTACTACAAATAGTCAACAAGCAATTGGAAACCCTAGAAGTTCTTGTTTAGGTCCATTTTGGACTAGGACTTCCTTATTGGACTCAATGGACCAATAGGCTTCCAATTTGACTATCATGGGCTTAGAACCTTAAATGGGCTCTAATTGGACCCACATTCATTTATTTCAACATTTTGGGCCATATTGGGCCTAGAATGAAATGAATTAAAAGCTTGATCCATGAATAACCTAAACTAGTCCAACAAATATGTAAAAATCATACTATATTCTTTTATGTTAAAACTCACCCAAACTAACTCTAATATTGGGCTTAGGGGCAAAAAGCCCAAATTTTCCTTTTCCTTCAAGATTCTCGGCCCAAGGCCCAAGCCCAAGAAGAAGTGGTGAGGAGTTGACTTCTTCATGCCACCTCACTTATGTCCAACATACTTCCATGCATGGACCAACATACATCTATGAATGTCAACTAAACCATTTCTCTCCTCTTTCTTCTTGACCTCGGCCGAAAGCACCCACACACACACACTTTCATCACTCCTTACATATCAAACACTCTCCAAGAACACCTCCCCCCTCTTCATAAAATTTTCGAGAAATAAGGGCAATCCAAGGAGATTTTTCACAAAAATCACCCTCCAAGAAACACCTCAAGGCCGAGATCTTCATCAAAGGGTGCTAGGGCCGAAAAATCACAAAACTTTCTTCCATTTCTCCTCCAAAACCGAAACCACACCCTAAGGTGAGCTTCATACCCCCTATTTTCTGTTTTTATGAGTTTTGTGGGGGGGGGGGAATACAAGTGAAAGTGTAGATCTATATATGTTTGTATGCCTTGTATGATTTCTATGCTTATATGTGTGTTTTTGTGTGTTATAATGTTGGATCTAGCCTTAAAACCCCTAAAAACCGAGATATACTTTATGATTAATGATACTAGCATCAAGTATATTTCTACATACAAAGTGTTCCAAGAAAAATAGCTAAATGGCTTAATAACATTTTATTTGGACTAAAAACTCAATTTTTGGACATAAAATGATAAAAATATAAAGTTAAAGGGCCCAAAATGTCATATCACGAATTCTGATGGATGAGGAGTGTCAAAACAGTTTCAATGAAATATTTTCTGAAAATATACTCATTTGGAGGATTAAAAATATAAATTTCAAGCTTAATGGGCTAAAAATGATAATTTCGGCCCAATATGGCCCATTATGCGAAATTTTCTGTTTTGGAGGGCCAAAACTGTGTTTTTCTATAAAACAGTGGACTACTAAGGTTCCAAGTACTTTTCAAAGGTTTAAAATGCTTTTCCAATTTAAAAAGGACCAAAGTTGCAAAAATTTTCCAATTTGGGCCAAAATTGTAAAAACTGCGAAAAAGAGGGGCTATAACCGAGAAAACTGCAATTTCAGGGACTTAACCTGTTTTCAATGAAAAATATGCTGAAAAATATTAATTTCAATAATTTTTGGTGTAAAATGTCAAGAAAAATGATTTAAGGACAAACCGGAAAATTATTTAATTAGAGGGTTGAAAAGATAAATTTTACAAACAATGAGGGGCTGAAACAGAAAACTTTCAAGGCTAATTCAATGCACGCAACTTGATCAAATATTGGAACCGCGACTACCTACGTAATACAATACGCAACAATACCAAAAATCGTTGTTAAACGAATTGATTCGGTCTCGAATCAATAACAATCCGAAAATACTAACACGACAATAACTCGATTCATACACGAAAACATTTGGTAATTCAATATACACGTGAGAGTGCACAGACGTCTACGCACCATCTTTGGGCCCCAAAGTGTAAAATCTTGTTTGTTGGGCCTAGCTAGCCCAATGACCTGATCTTAAGGCCCGAAGACTTCTACCTTACGAGTTGTTGGGTCTTACATGATCTAACACAGCGTAAAAGGACTTTCAATGGCTTTTATACCATTGGTCCCAAGGGTCCTATGGTATTGCTAGTAAAGTCGGTATTTCATGCGAGGCGGGTCAAGGGCCCCTCGTACCCTTTTTTTTTCCCCAACCGGTTAATGGAGACATCGGGGTCTTCGTGTCCTCTTTCTCTTCGGATGTGGGATTAATCGGAGTCAGGGCGGTTGGATAACGTGATTAGTACGGACGACGCCTAGGGGATCGTTAGTATAGTTATAAACTGGTCGTTTGTGTAACGCTTGTTTATAGCAATTAATCATGCACAAAAATAATCCGACGTCGCCTGGAATTAATGACTTCACGCGTTACAATGGTTTTATTTTAACTTCATGGAATTCAAAGAAGTAGGAAAACATCGGGTTTTCCTAGGGTTTTTCAATACATACGGTTTCGAAATGTATACAAGTTTAATGAACAATTTTTACAAATATAGAAACAAACAAGCATACCTATGGATCTTCACAAATGTTTTCAAAAGCTTTTTCTTTTCAGAAAATATCGGATTTTCTGGTGGTTTTCAAAATGATACAAAACATTGTTTTCCTAAATATTGCTTATGAACTCACCAACATTTCACATGTTGACGTTTTTTTTCAAAATACTTGTATTCTTAGGTAACCAGTGAATCAAAGGAAAATGTACTCAGTGATGGCTTGCAGTTTATCTATTAACGAACTGAACAATTTATTTTTGGGAATGTAATGTTTTGAGACAATGTAATGGATGTAAACTCTATTAGTTGTAATATACAAATGTTGGTGATGAAAGATGTTATGTTTCATGTATATTCATTGTGATGGTATTCAATTGAGTCACAACAGCTCCCGAACGTTTCCGCCGTCTGGTTCGGGGGTGTGACAGGTTGGTATCAGAGCTTTGTTTATAGTGAACTAGCATGTCGAGCCACACATTGATATGCAACTATAAACCAAAAAGAGGGACTAACATAACTCTGAACAAAACAAGTAAATAAAACACGCTTGCTTGCATTAGGAATAAGAACATAACGCCGAATCAAACACAATAATGCTGGTATCTCGGTTAACTCGGGACTGTTCTTAGTGATACCAAGGAGTGGATGTAGCCTGATCAACTACATTCTCTCCAAAGTAAAACTAACACACATCTTGATGAGATCGGGATAGCTAGGGAACCTAAAACTATACCCCTACTACCGAAAAGAGAACGCCTGTTTAGCTTGTGCAATAGCGGTAGAGTCGTAGGAAAGTGATAGCTTATTCGTATACTTTCTCCCAGTCTTCATGGAGGGAGAGCATCAGGGCATTCAGTTTCACCAAGCCCTAGGGGCACACGGGATACTCGAAGACGAACCAGAAGGGAATCAAGAGGGAGTCCACGGCGTTGAACCTGACGAGTACATGGACACCGACTACGAGTTCGAGGATTCCAACGATGACATGGAGGAGGATCAGGCCCCGGACGTGGATCACGTCGCATCTCCTGTTAGCGAGGTGCAACAGGATCACCACGTCCCACCAGTGAATCCCTCGAGGGATAATCGATCCCCAGAAGCCGAGATTGCCGACTTGCGGCAACAACTATTCGCTATGGAAGCACGTGTCGTGCAAGCAGAGCATGAGAGGGATGAGGTCATTTTAGACATGACTGAGATGGCTCAGTTGTTGGCTCAGCACTTCGGCATATGATTTCACCGTTATAGTAGGATGCAACTCATCGCGGTTAGGGATAGACTTATCTTAGTAGGTCATTAGGAAATATGCTATGTACTCCGACTCTATGTTTAAGTGACTACACTACTCATAGAGCCGTTATGCTGTCGAACTAGTATCACTCATGTATGCTCTTACGAGCAAAATTTTCATGTATCAAATGCGGATAATATTAATAAATTTTTACGTGTTTTGTTACGATATTACAAGTTGCTATGTGTTGAGAAATTATGATTGATTGGTCAATGATAGTAGTGTTTAAGTTCGTACCATGCACCTAGTCAGTAGGATCACAACCTCACAGAAACCACATACACTCAACATCTTTCCGTTTCATGACAGAAAGATGCCTCCCCGACCTACTCGCGGAAACCCAGGACCAACCCCACCTGAAGTTGACTCAGCCGCGTTCCAGGCAGCTGTATCTGCAGCAGTCACTGCAGCGATTGCGCAAATTCATCAAGGGAACAATGGAGGAGCCAATGGACAAGGAGCCAGAAGTTCGAACAACGGGATGAACCAAGGGTCTACCAAAACATGTACCTACAAGGACTTCACAAACGCTAAACCACGAACTTTCAACGGCACTGGAGGGGTGATCACTTTGAAGCGATGGATTGAAAAGGTGGAGTCGGTATTCGAGATATGTGATTGCCCCGAGCAGATGAAGGTGAAGTTCGCGGCCTGCACTTTTGTGGACCAAGCACTCACTTGGTGGAACGGACACGTGGAAGCCATGACGCTCCTTGTAGCCAA